TGGATGGAGGGCAGTGATTCTTCCCCTCTATTCAGCACTGGGGAGGCCACATCTGGAGTCCTGTGTCCAGCTGTGGCCCCCACTGCAGAAAGGATGTGGCAGAAAGGAGAGAGTCCAGTGGAGGGCAATGAAATGGTTGGGGCCTGGGGGACAGGACTGGTGAGGAGAGCCTGAAGGAACCTGGCTGACTGAGTCTGCAGAAGGGAAGACTGAGGGGGATTGAATAGCAGCCTTTTCCTCCCTGCAGGGGGGCTGCAAAGAGGATGGAGCTGGGCTGTTCTTCATGGGGGCAGACGGCAGGACAAGGAGCAATGGGCTCGCATTGCAGCAAGGGAAGTTGGGATTGGATATTTGGAAGAACTTTCTCAGTAAGAGGGTGGTGAAGCACTGGACCAGACTTCTCATAGAGGTGGTGGGATCTCCATCCTTGGAGGTTTGTAAGGCCTGGCTTGACAAAGCCTTGCCTGGGATGATGTAGCTGGGGCTGGCCTGGCTTTGGACTACATGTGACTTCCTGAGGTCCCTTTCAGCCCTCATTGTCTCTGAGTCTATGACAGGCTGGAGCTGCGCGTTGTTGAAGCCATGGGGCCCGTCAACATGAGGGAAGGCAGGTTTGGGAGGGAACTCAGACCAGCAGCGTGGACCTGGGACTTTGCACTTGTGCTTGTTGAACCTCGTGAGATTCCTTGTGGTCCAATCCATTGAGGTCTCTATTTCCTAGCTCTACTCTCCAGCGTACCTACTACTCCCCCAGCTTGGTGTCATCTGCAGACTGGGTGAGGGTGCGCTGCATCCCATCTTCCAGCTCGCTGATGACCTTTCCCCTGCACGAACCCCCAGCACAACAAGGGGTCCTTCCTTCTTCCACGAGAGTGGCGCTGCCCTCCCTGGCTGGGACCCCAGCGCGTTTTGCTGCCCAGGCAGGGGGTCGGACTCGATGATCTGTTGAGGTCCCTTCCACTGCTAGTGAAGGAGAACAATAGAAACTTTCATCGCCATTATGTGTAAGCAAGCAGATCACGTACGCTGCATAAGCTATCAGAAAGTGAAGGACATCACTTTTAACAATAAGGCTAATGCAAAACTAGAATAAACTAGCTTTTATCAACTCTAAGTTTCTCAGTAAGGGAAATTTAAATTAGCAGCAAGTGGTGATTATTAATTAGTAAAGCTGTTGCTGTAATAGTATCATCATGTTTCCCATATAATGCTTTGTGTAATTCGAAAAGTGCAACAGGCAATCTCCCTGCGGGGCAGTTGTCTGTTCAGAATGCATTCTTTAATAAATCAAGTCTTTAAACTTATATTGTGGTTCTTCTGAGCCTCCTCCTAATGAACCCGAAGACTTAAATTTTTCCCCAACAATTTTCTGGTGTCAGCAGTGGGATTGCAGCGGAACACCGAGCGGACGACTTGAATAGTCTGAGGACACAGCTGACACCCGTGGCGCCAAACTTAGAGGTAAGAGATCCTAATTAAAAACATCTCACTTTACGGGACTCAGTGCTCCCTAGCCTGGACGAGTTACGTCTTCTCAGCGGTAAGCGCACCCTATGTTAAGCTGTAAAGTTTAAGACTTGGTTTATCTGACTGACTGAAATTTATAACAGAATTCTTTATCTGAAACTAGCTGACAGGTAGACTGTTCTGACTTCGTCTGGGGACGCCTAGACTCTTCTCTGTCTATCCCTTTGCCTACTGGCCTCTAACAGTCCCTGTCCTGATAACTCTGATTTATATTTGAGAGATTGTCTTGTGTCTTTCCCTTA